ATTATATTGTCTCAAAATTTGTGTCAATATGAATAAGCATGAAACAAGTTTTTTCAAAACATATATACAATTTTTTTTCATATCGTTTTCATATCATATCATTGTGTCATGTTTGAAATTATTAGATCTATGTATCTCAGTGGATCATCATAAGTATGATCTTTTCTTATGAGATACATAAACCAGATGCATCTCATTAGAACAATAAGTAATTTATTGCATTCAAACCTAGTGTCTTATATTTTATGTATACTGTAATATTTTTATTCAATACTTCACTCTTATGTATCATGTACCAAAAATTAAAAATTTCACAAAGCAATAATGATACATAATATCAACATAGTGATGGAAAAATAAATCAATGCATCAATTTTAAACTGCAATTATTTCATATAAATAATAATTCAATATTATCTAATAATTAAATAAAATTATAAAATAAATTATCAATTTAATACTAGCTATACCAAAACTTCATGGAGTTCAAACCTAACTTGTTTTTCAAAATAATGTATGTTGCATAATGAATGGATAACTAAAAATTAGTAAAAGCAAACTTTACTAAATTTATTTAATTATGCACATAAAATTTAAGCTGAAAGTACATAGATCTTAAATATCATATAAAGAGAGTATGAACCTTTGATAGCTTCAAGCATGCCAAAATATTTTATTATAAAATAAAACAATAGAATTCATGTGCATAAAATATAATAAATATTTAATTATGCATGACTATTGCATAATAAATATTTTATGCCATTTAAAAATTTTATAAAAAATAATAAACAAATGCAACATAAATTTTGAAACTAACTAAAAAAATAGCATAAAAAATGGAGGTGCAATGAATTGAAATGGGTCAATTTCTTGATTCTGACACTATTTTTTGACTCAATATTGTGCCAACTCAATGTTCACATCCTAGCTTTAGCTAATGTAACCTAATTTAGCTAGGTCAAATTTGACCCAATTTAGGTCTATTTTAATTTTTAAGCCAATTTTGATGATTTTTTTTTTTTGAAATTAAACCTTTTAACATGCAATTAAGATATGAATTTACAAAACCCATGCCACAACATAAATAAAAAACACATAAATCAACATGAACTTGAGAAGAAAACATCATGTTCATAGCCATTCTTGACCCGTTTTTATTACTTGATTTCTTTCTTTGATCTTTCATGTTTTCCTTGAGTTTTAATGCAATTAAATGTTTCAAATTTTAATTAACACATATATTTACAAAACCAATGTTTCAAATTGCATCAAAACAACATGAATTAAACTTAATCAAATAAAAACAATTTGGGTTTCATACCAAGTTCTTCCATTAATGGTTTATTCATAATCGATCAAGTAAAACCCATATTACATACAACTAAAACACATGTTTCAAGTTTAAAACACATGGGTAACAATATTAAAGAACCAATTTTGATTAAAACACATAAAATATTAAGGTTTTAATTAAAATTTGAATTTGTTCAAATCTTGTACCCAAATGTTTAAACCCGATTTTTTTCTCTATAAGATGAATTAAAAAACATTTTATATATAGTTTTAATCTTTAAAGAGAACAAAAGCCCCGAATCAAGTTTGGAAAAACAAGATCAGAAAGTTGGATTATGACAATCATAAGATTTTGCCCAAAATATTGATTTCATGCAAAATTAAAAGTTAAAAATCATAAATTTGGATCCTAATTTTATGTAAAAAGGCTTTGATACTACATGTAAGTGTAACATTAAATCCAAAAAACTATATATGAATATTAGAACACAAATTTGATCAAATTGCATACTTAGTTAGGCAAATATAATTGATAAGTGAAAGCAACACTAAATCTTGAAGAGACTAAATCTTATTTTTTGCTCTTATCTTATAGATAGCTCTTAATTGGTAGATACTATTACTTAGATATGAAGAGGAGACCTCAGCCAAATATTAGTAAAACCTTAGAAACCTTCACATCAAAGGTTTATCGAGTCAAATGCCTACACAACCATACACTAATCTAATAACATGTGCAAAGCCCACACATAAATGATCATAATTAATTATTTGTACTTTCATACTTGTCTTGTATTATGATTAAATTTATCTACCTATTTTATTAAACTATAAAATTTTCAATTAATAGTAACCAACTTATTAAAAAATTCTAACAGAATGAAGAGGAAATTGAGGTACATTAGGAGTTAGGACAATTATGGAAAGGACATTGAAGGATTTAATATAGAAAATTTGTATACTAGCTTGGCTTTGATACTGTTTCCTTATAGAAAGTTAGGTCTATCATGAAGCAACTTGGTCTTACAACTTGATTTGACTTAGCAACAGTTGTGCTTCATGGATATTTAACTGAGGTGATGGTTATGTTGATTGTTGAGATTGTTGAGATATAGGTGACTAAATGGTTGGAATCTACACACAAACAAAAGTTTAAAATAGAGACAGTCCCCAACATAAACTTTTAAAATATTTCAAAGATAAATGTGCAGAGATGATAAGCATACTACTTGAAGGGGCTTAATCATTCCAAGCATTACCTAAGCCAGAAGTAACAAGAAAATTTGAAAAACCTTATTAAGGCATGGAAGCTCCTAAAGATTTAACAATACATTATATAAAAGATAAAATTTAAAGCAAAATAAGGGTAATTAACCATCATGCTGTACAGCACTACGACTAGTCCATCAAGAAAGATGTTTCCATGATCATAGCTTCTTATTATGAGTTGCAACTAGTACTAGAAGCATCCCACAATTACATAACCAACTTAAGAAATGTAATTGTCCATACTAAGGTTTCTTTAGTACACGGTCTATGTTGCTTGGGTTCCTAGTGACTAGCTACTCTCAACCAGTATATCAAATAAAGGTAACAAATGTTCACAACTTTAGCCTACAAGAGATGTCAAAAGAGTCTAAAGTTAAATGGTTACATAATTCTTATAGTAATAACAACCAAACAATTCAGTCTAACCATCATATAATTACTATTATAAGTATTAAAACTAAGAATAATTTGGAAAGGAAAATTAAAAAACACCTTTATATTTGAAAAAAATAAATAAATAAATAAATAAAAACTTGAAAATGAGCTTTAGTCGAGAGAAGGTTTTGGATAAGGACTTGTTTCGCTTGTTACCAATTTTGTTAAGTGTCTACATATGCCTAAAACAAATAATATATAATAATAATCAAATAAAAATTACTAAGAAATTTAAATTACCAATTGGAATTGATGGTGAAGGAAATGGTGTTTGGGAGAAAAGAAAAGAAAATTTTGAAATCAAATAAAAAATTACCTTCATTTGGGACATGATTTTGTAAAGTTGGTTTTTCAACTTTTTGGCAATGTGGGCCAGCAAGCCCTCATTGGCCACTTACTTTTCCACCATTGTCTCATCAAAAAGTAAATATGTCAATGGATAAGATATAGGAAGGGTAAAGCATTTCCTATCTCTATTTCTGGATTTTTATATTATACTTATCCTTGTATCTATTTTTAATGGGTATTTTAAATTTATCCTCATTCTCATCCTCATCTCCATGAGTATTTAATAGGTATAAGTAATCCCCATGCCTATAACTTTTAAAAAAATAAAAGCCAAAAAAAATTTTTAGTTTTTTTATCTTGCATATTTAAATAATTTTTTATAAATATATATTAATATATTTTTTTAATAAATATATATTAATTCTAATTAATTTAAAATAATAATTTATATTACTTAATAAAAAATTTATTTACTAAATATATATGTAGAGTACGGGTATAGGATGGGTATTATATTATTCTCATACCTAATAAAAATTTTACATCATATCTATCCCTATCCCCGTAATGTAATACTCATCTCCATTTTCATTTGGATAAAAAAATTAGATTTTCATTAAATATGGATAAGATTAATATTCTTACTAGAGAAAGAAAAAAAAAATCTTATGTGGCTTTTTGATTTTTGGTTTGAGGATTTATAGCAAAGTGGTTTTGAAAGGCCTTAGCCCAATAATAAAGAATTTGAGATTAAAAAAAAAACCAAGCCCACTCATCAAAAGTGTTCTCCTTTTCTTTTATTGAATTTTTAATTTTCATTTTCATGGTAAACTCTCTAAAAATAATCCAATTTATTAATTAAATAAATTTCAATTAATTAATGAAGGTGATTTTAATTCCAGTTTTGGCTCAAGAAATATTGTATTAACTTTTATTAAATATATTTTTTAACGAGAATTATAGTCATAATTAGTCAAAATTAATCACAATTAAATAATTTTTAAGAAATATGATATTGTATTACATGCAATAAAGAAATTGATTAATAAATTAAACAAATTAACATAAAGCTGGATCACTTCAAAGAATTTAACATTTTGCAACTTTTTTCATGTTGCAAAAACTTTAACTAGTTTTTAGATAAAGTTCTTATACATGTTGTAATAGATTGTTGTAAACTACATTAATAGCAAAATGAGTTCAAAACATTTTTTGCATAAATCATAAACTGTTTGTGACTCGCAACAGTTTAAATTTTGTTTTTAAAAAATATAATATTTTTTATATTATAAAAAAAAAAGCATTAGGGTTGTTTCTAGCCATGTTTCATATAGCATCAACACCATCATACACAAAAATTACAACAAAAGGTTTTTATATGCAAATTCTTTAATGCCTTATAATAATGGATGGAGAATTTGCTTAATTGGCCCTCACAAGAAGACACGTAGATATCCATAGAAATTAAGGAGCGAGAACCTGTTCTTATAGTTATACATGCATGCATGCATGAATGAAATGATGCAATATTATGCTGTTTGGCCCCTTATATATAACATAGTATAGTAGACTTCTTCTTATTACAGCAATTGGAATTTATGGTCTTCCCAGTGGAAACTCGACAATTGGTCATTACAGAATTGAGATTGTTTTCATCTTAATTAACCCTTTCAAGGTATGGAATATTGAGACAGAGAAGAAGTGTACAAGGTGTTAGTTTTTCTCACACTTTTAGACTTATATTCAGATTATAGCTTCACCACATGGAGTCCATATTGAATGGTTGCTCCTGTTGTTGTTGTGGCATAGGATCTACGACCTTGGAAGAAGAAGCTGCGCCTTGGAAATTTGAAATTAAACCTGTTCCGAATGGAGGATTAATCCCTTGTGACGAAGACAGAAGCGAATAATCTATGGATGTAACATCTCTTGGTTGATAATTCCTAAGCTGCAATGCCTTAAGGAGAAAGGAATTCATGGAAAGATTAGGGCTTAGAATGCTAGAAGGCCATGTGAGCGACGATGGAAGGCTTGCTGCTGCAAAATCCAGGTTTAAGTTCATGGCGTTCATGTGACCATGATTAACAGTATTACTGTAACTAGGTGTTGCGATGTTACTGAACCCACTTGAGGGGTTGACATTAATGTTCAAGTTTGGTACCTCAACATCTCCAAACTCGTTCACAATTGAATTTGCATCACATGGAGATCCAAGAGATGGTTGTGAGGATGAGGTTGGCTGTGGTTTCTTCACTGCTGCACTCTTTTGGAATACCCTACACACCACCCATTCCTCCTATATATAAAAATATTCAAGTCATAAAAATTAAATCATTAGAAAAGGAATTAAATCAAGTTATATACATCAATATATTGAGAGAAAAAACAAACAAATAAAAAACAAAGTACCTTTGTGGCCTTGAAAGGGTTTTTATTTTCAAGCCTATATTCATGCATGACCCAGTTACTTTTCTCACCCTTGGGGGCTCTTCCCTTGTAGAAAACTAGGGTTTTCTTCATCCCAACAAGAATGCCAGCCCGGAAGATTTCCTTGTCTCTGCCTGTGGTTTTCCAATAACCTGCTTCAGTAGCTCGGTTCGTACGAAGTCCAGTTGGGTATTTTCGGTCTCTCAAACTAAAGAAGTACCATTCTTTCTCCCCCATCGATGCCTTGGCTGCATCGTATCACAACTCTGGCATCAGTCTTTGTTAGGCCACCACAAAATATAGGGAAACAAAGCGTTTTACACCCATAATTGGCCTAGATAATCTTAAAGAGAATCAATTTACCAATCAAACTTTGTCCTTTCAACATAATCAGACCTTATTTACATGATTAGAAGTTATTCCAAACAAAAAGTTCAATGTTCGCAAAGAGAAAAAAGGGAACAAAACTTAATTTCTTTGATTAAGAATATTATTAAGGGCAAAGAAACAAGAGGTTGGACACAGAAAATAAAGAAACAGTAAGTACTCTTCAATTATATATTATAGTAAAAAAAATCTTCTAATAAACTTTTGCTTTAAACACAAACAAATTACACAACCCCATCAAGGTGTACGTTCCATAAATCAATTTTGGATTTTGGAAAAGAGTTTTTAGTAGAGTTATGACAAAAGATCAAATCCCTTTCACACCAAAACATTTGGTTTAATGATAAGTATATGTATCATCGTTTATTCAAATAGTAAAGTTTAAATTCCCTTCTTAAAAAATCAAATCCTTTCTCTTTTTCTTGTAATAGTTACTATTATCCAGTTAAAGCATGAGATTATAGAAATGCATGCAATTTATCAATAGAAAATCATAACATCAAGTAAAGATATTATATAAAGAGTCGCTCAATTTTCAAGGGCATGGACAACCAAGTTATCCAGATGCTATGAAAAATATAATCAGAAAGTAAAAAGGTTAAAATTAGTTTGACACAAATTAATACTATAACTGTAAAGCTATACCTGGAAGATCCCAAGGTTCACATTTATTCAGATCAACATCGACAATAGCTTTGGAAGTGAAGCTGATATCGGAGACCTTGTGGGAAAGATAATAAGTGATGAGTTCTTCATCTGTGGGGTGGAATCTGAACCCCGGAGGAAGATTCTCCTCCATTTTTTCTTCTTGATAAAACCCTCAAAGCTATGCAAAAAAGACAAAGCCAAGTTCCCAAAGTACGGATTAGGCTATGAAAAGAGCTTATAATAACATCAACTGAGAGGAGATGGGAAATGGGAAATGGGTTGCGTGTGCTTTATGTTCTATAACTTCCCTCATGTAGAAGATTGAAGAAGAAGCAGCCATGACAAACCCTTGTTTTATAAATATATATATATATATATATATATATCATGATAATTACAGCTAACACTTTGACAAAACATGTTGCAAGAAAAATACTTGGTTTTGAAATTTACAACAATGCCACTATACTGTGAATGATCAACTTGATATATAGACGGTGGATTTGCTGAATTCTTTTCAAATTAATTATTACTGAAAAGCCAAGCAGTTGTAGCGTTGACTAATGAGGGATTGCTTTTGTTTTCTGTTTCAAAGCTGAATTTTATGAGGGGGGGGGGGGGGGGGGGAGAGGGGCAGAAAAGTTTGTGCACGAGGGGTAGAGTCTTTGATACACTATAGAGTTAGAGATTTAGAGAATTTAGCGTGTTTTTTTCTACGATCCTTCCTGTCCAACCACCATCACCCATTTCTACCAACCCAAATCCTAGTCCAATGGGAACGTGGCCTTAACAATATAATCAACAATAATTTATTGACACTTGTGAGCTCCTATATTGTCATCAATCTCCCTCTCTCTAATATTTCAACCCTCAAATGACTAGGGTGTTCGATTAATTAATTAATTGTTTCTTTAATCTATTTGTTAAAAATTTTAATATTTATGATCATTGTTAATGATAGATTAACACAAAAAAAAAAAAAAAGATTTTAAGGTATCTTTGGTGTTTGATGAATGATGATGACATAATATCTTAATTAGTATCACCATCACATGCTTACGTTCCCCTATAAATTTCCATGCAGATCATACATAAAGAGAGGTAGTAAGTTTGTTTTTATATACTAAAAATAAAATTTTTTAATTTTACAAATCGAGTTAAAAGATTAACAAATATTCTATTTCTTTTTTTTAATTAGGCTTTTTTATAATGTACTTAAGAGGTATGTATAGTTCTATTAATCTCATTTATGAAATTTAAAAACTCTATCAATAATAAATGAAATAATTTCTTATATATATATATATATATATATTGATATATACTTTGAGCATCTTTATATATGTATCTAAATATAAATCCATTTCTCCTTAGCCTCCAAAAGGAGAGACTTAATTTAAGTTGGGATGATCATGGGATTTCAACTAATTAATAAATCTCTGATTCTAAATAATAGGGCATGGCTAGCTTCTAATAAATTATTATCAAGGTCATGTGTGTGAATTAGAGATAGCAAAGAATAGTAAATAAATGGATATTTAGCACTATTCGATTTGATTATATAGATTTTTATACTTATAATTAAATGGATAATTAATGGATTCAAATAATAAATTTATTATCTGTGATGAATTCATATAGGTTTCATATAGTACCTATTGATTATCCAATATCTTAATCTGTTTAAATTTTTAAATGGATAGTATCATATATTTTAATTTATATCCATTTACATATACAAAATATGTAAAACTTTATACTCATAAAAAAGTTTGAACCTTAACAAATCATCTGTATATATTACTAATTAAGATTGAACTTGAATTTGACTTTGAATTTGAAGTTTTATTTAATATTGTGACAAAAAAAATTTAGTAAATAGACATTTTAACGGATTTGAATTTAATTAGATACAAATTTCAATAATAATATTAAATTTAAATAGATTATTAAATAAATTCAAATATTATAAAAATTAAATGAATTCAAATATAGATATTTCAAAAATAACATCTACTATGTTGTCATTCGTAATGTGAATAGTAAATGGTTTGCATATAAACTACAACAAGGGTGAAATTGTTTAATATCCCTATAGCTTCTACAATTTGAAAATGTAGATGTGTACCCGTCAATATCAGTATTAAATACGTTGATGATCAAAGTCATTAATTAATATATCTCTATATATATGAGTTGTTCATTCATAGTCAGATTAAAAAAAAATTATATTTTGGTAAGAATAGGAATAGAATATTTGACAATTGACACTCGAGGTTGTATTTATCATAGCTTCTCATAAAATTTAATTTCATTAAACAAATGTAGGGAAAAGATTACAAAGAGTGGTTAAAAGGGTCACCAACCCACAAGACTGTATCTATGGCGTAGGCATTTCTGTTTGGACTATTTCCTTCTCTTCATCTCAATTGTCTTCAAACCCCTCCCTACCACAAATGTCAATCCTAACCACAACTTTTAAATTTACTCCACGTTTTTTTTTCCAGTTGGGTTTCTAGAAACACGAACTCAATGTTTCATTCACAAGACCCCACCCCTTATCTTCTCTCTCTCTCTCTCTCTCTCTCTCTCTCTCTCTCTATGAAAACTTAATACTTTTGACAAGAACGGAAAATAAATTTAATTTATTTAAGGAACATTTTATACTAATTAATATAATTATATACACCAAAAACTATATATATTTAGTTATAATAACGTACATGCTCCTTAAAATCTGATGATATATATATATATAGACTCGTCTTAAGAGGTGAAAAGTAGTAAATCTAAAAGCAATAGTTAAATTTCTAACTTTTTTATGCATTGATTGCGCATTGTGAACCAGTTGTTGCCTAAAATCGTTACTTAGTTTAGAATTTATTTTGGTGGCCAGTCATTTCTTCAAGTCAAATGTGAACCAAATCTAAATGCAATCATTTCCATAGTGAACTAAGAAATGTTAGTATTTGATTTACTTATTTGTCCACATTTCTGTAAAAGAAAAAAGTTAGATGAAATTTTGTTAAATTTTTTATTAAAAATAATTTATTAAAAATTTCAATCAATAGATTGAAAATTTTTTATTACATATATCAAGTGTAAAAATTTTTTAAAAAAATTTAATAAAATTTTTACTGTTAAATATATATTGATTAATTTTGAATTATAAATAATATTTTAATAATTTTTATTAAATTCTATTAATCTATGAATTTCAATTTTTTATTAAATTATTTTTAGCAAAAAGCTTATCGAACTCCATGTAAAAAATTAATTTTATCTAAATTTTGTTGAAAGTCAGGCAACCAAAAACAAAACAAGAAGCTTCTTCATATCGTAAAAGTAAAGAAGCTTCTTCATCATCAACAGATAGAATAAGACAAAATTCTTATTTTTTTAGCCATAAAATAAGATTATTGAAACTAAGTATACTTTAATTCGACATGAAAATCACAAACTAATTAAGTGCTTATTTGACTGAAATTGTATTATAAATTGCATTCATAAGGTCAATATTTAGGATGGCAAAGAGGTCCAAATCCATCATGTTTCAACTTGATTTGATTTTATAAGAATTTTTTTAATTTGAATTTTGGGATAATTTTTATAAAGAAAATCAAGATCTGATCAAGTTTTTGGTAAATTTATCTTAACTAGACCCGATATATATAATATACTTTCATTATTTATTTAATTTTATATTTATATATATTATATTAATAAAATTATTATTTAATACTTTAATTTAAAATATTAATTTAATAAAAATACTATATTTATATATAATTAAGATATAATTTATATTAAAAAAATATTTTATGAGTATTATATTAAATTAATTTTAGGTCTGATAGGTTACAATTTTATATATATGTGAATCAGGTCAAAGGTAAGTATGAAAAAATAATATTTTAATGTTAAGTCGGAGTCTGATATATGATTTATAAAATTAGATTGAAGTCGGGACAAACAAAAACTCACATCGATCTAACTCAACTTGACCCATTGCTATCACTAATCAATATCCATTATTTAAATTTTAGTAATGTATGAATGAACACTACATTACCAAAATTTAAGTCATCTATCACTCTTTTCCTTTTTTTTTCTATTTTGGTTAAATTTTTTTATATTTAATATTTATAAATTTTATTTTTTAAGAACTTATTTTACACCAAACTATTTTAATTTTTTTCTTTTTACTTTTTTCCACATTTTAAATTTATTTTAATGGAATATATTTATATTAAGGGTGTGCGACAAATTTTTTTTTCAATTATTTTTTATTAAATAAATGTTTTTAAAATTTTAAATTCTTTTTTTATCTCACCGATATCAAAAGTATATCATGTGTCAAAAATTTTTTTCCTTTTAATCTTTTTTTATCATTTATTTATTTCATTTTTCTTTTTTTGCCCTTTAAATATTTATGCATATTTATAATATTTTACATTAAGATGGATTTAATGGGTATTTGGTTATTTTGTTTTCAAATAACATATCTTGAAATGGGTTGAGTTTTTTTAAAGAAAATCTAGTTCGAGTCCAGAGCATATTTAAAATACTTTATTTTGAGTTATTTCAATGTATATATAAAAATTTATATTTTATTATATATTTAATTATATATATTATATTAATAAAATTATTTTTATCTTAATCTAATAAATTAACATTTTAAATTCAATATGGAGTGTCAATGTTACATCCTTTATAAACTTTTTTTCTTATTTTTAATTTTTTAATTTTTCTTTTTTTCTTTTTTCAAATTTTTTATTTTTGATCTTTTTTATTAGATAAATTTATTAGAAAAATGAGAGTAATTAACACATTCATGTATCATTCTCATTTGTTTTTTTGTTTTTCATCTTTTTTTAATTAAATTATTTTTATAAAAAATATACAATGAAAATAAATGATAACATAAAAAAGTTTTACCCGCAAAAACATGCGGTTGTTTCTTCTGGTATAAATGAAAAATCAGTAAAGAACATCCATGTATGGATGTCATGTAATTGTCTTACACGTTCCCAGACAAAAACACTATCTGCACCATCAATCAACAGCTTTAATTAATTTCTATAATGGATAGACAGATTTTAATATAATTAACTAAAAATATTATCATTCAAAATTTAATAAGCCAATATCAATTCAAAAACCAAAAAAAAAAAAAAAAAAAAAAGAAGGGATCAGCCTAGCTCATTGAGAATTTGGCATATATAATTAGCTAGGTACAAGTGTCACGGGTCGAGACTCAAGCTCCGAACCCGCGCGGCTCCGGGACCCGGGCATTCAACCTTTCGGCGTCCCGAATCAGCCTACCTGCCACGGTTCACACCCTTGTGAGGTATTGTCCGCTCTGGCCCCCCTGGCCTCACGGTTTGTCCTACAAAAGGCGCCTCACGACCTTCCTATTATGTCGATGTGGGATTCAGGACTCCCCCTTAGGTCCGTGACACAAGTATGGAGCTGTAGTTGACAAAGCCTTCTTTTAGAAAAAAAAAAAAAAAAAAGAAATTTATTGCCACTTTTTTTCTACCAATTAATCTATTTCCTTTGTAGTTTGTTCCAAAAATAATGAAGTCCATTTCCTGAAAACATCTGAGCCATAATTGTTAGGCCCATGGCCGGATAAAAAGCCAGTAGGCCATTATTAATGTGTATGTAAATGAAATGTCTCATAATAAATCCAAAATCTAAGTTTTGGGGCAAACCAAGAAGGTACGGACAACACTAATCCGGCCCATATCTCTCTATCACAACTCCCATGCACCTGGCTATCTTAGAACTATACCTGCGTGCGTAAAATTATTAGAAGAAGCATGACATATTCCAACCAATGAAAATGAAGTGCTTATGAAATATTATCCCCGGATGCAATTTAAAACTTAAGATTTCATATTAAAAGTTTCGAATTCAAATTTTAAAATTAGTATAATAAAAATGAAAAAAAATTACGTTTTCATTGCATAGTTCAAAATCTTTATATACAAAAAATAAAACAAATATGAAATATTTTAACAAAGTTCAAACATGTAAAATACAATAGAGCCACTAAGAATATGTGCAAGACCTACTATTTATTAATTGCTCAAATTGTCTAACCTAAATTCAAAATAACACCTAATTAAATGGGTATAGTTGGACAAATATTTCACAAGAGAAAAAGGTAAAGCAGTATTAATAGTGAGCACTGTACTTTACCATCTTTTCCTGCTAAAATTTGGAAGAAAGTACAAAGTCCCAGCTCCCACCGAAGTCTGGAAGAAATCCTTGAGTTAATTATGGCCCAGATCTTTGGCACAATCCGGCCTCTTTGGAAGATAATTGGTGCCTTTGTCTGTAAGCTGTGCCATGCTTCGATGAATCTGGGGTGGGAATACTCTTAATTAGACTTTTTCATGGATTGAACTGGGTCGGGTTAGACTTGGTTGGCTTCGAAATTTTTTGCTTAAAGTTTTTGTTTGGCCCGTTAGAGCCAATAAACTTGATTTTTAAAAACATATTAAAATGATTCATTTTTAAATATATTTTAAAATTAAAATTAAAATAAAATTTTTATTATTTTTTAAACATTTCAGGTCCATTCAGACTTGAGTTTCAAATCTCTTGTCCAAGACCTAACTATTGGACCGATCTATTCCTAATATTTTGTGCATCACCTAAGAAATAAACGAGTGAGTTAATTAATGGTTAAGTTTCATGTAATGAATAACCTTATTATATTAAGAGTATTTATGTAATTGATAATAATTTAAGCTATGTGTATAACTTCCTCTAATTTCAATCCTAGCCTTCTCACATCATATATCAAGATACTAACGAAAATGAAAATTAGAGTAGAAATTAAGTAATTAATTGCATTTAAGAGTTTATGATAATTTTTTTTATATAATTGAAATTGTCAAATATTGAATTATAGTCATTGAAATTAAAAATCCAGCCCTTTATACTAAACATATTTACCGAAAGTTATAAAAACTTGAAAATAGTATATTTTGCTATGATTAAATAATTTTTATCTAAACATATTTGAGAAAAATCTAAGTCAAAGCAGGCATATGCCAATCGCGAATACCCCTTCTCCCAAAGATACAGGTAGAACACCTGGTAGAGAAACCCAATCGTCACTTGACCAAGAATCGTAGGCGAGACAGCATTTTGTGCAGAAACCTTGGGAGCTAAGTTAAGGACATAGAGCAAATGAGAAGCCCCGAGAGACAGCCCCACGTTCACCTTTTATAGGTTTTCCATAATTAAGTGGCAAAGAATATCTCTCGATCAATAAAGCCTCTCCACTATCGAAACAAAATGACCCCAAATCATTATTTATATCAAATTATATATCTTATACGATTTTATTTTTTTATTTTTGAAAAGTTATAAACTCAATATTAATTCTTTTATAAAGGAAAAAATAAAAAAAAAAGCCATCTACTTGTTTGCGGATGCGTGTAGGCAGGTTTTGGTATATGGGTCTCTTCTTTTTATGTATTGTGTATGTTATTTAGGATTTTGAGATAATAAGATTTTTTAAAATATTATATTTGATAAATTATTAGTATATAAATTTTATATATTATCAATGAATTATATAAAGTCACATAATTTTTTTTAAATTAAATTTTTGTATATTTATTTTAAGAATTTAATAAAATTTTATATTTACTCATTAATAAAATAATATTATATGATTAATTATCGGTGAATAATTAATTATATAAAATTAGAATTTTCTCTATTTTGAAAAAAATAATTGGTAAATATAAATAAATAAAATATTAGTAGTATATATAGTTATGCAGACAGAATGCCAAGTGAATCCTATTGGTTTTAGGGTCGGCAACCCAATCTGCCTCTAATGGGTTCTGACCCGATCTGACCTCATAAGGTCGATTTTTTTTTTTTTTAAATCGGATTTCAAGTCTGGTGAAGTTAAAAAAAAAAATTAATGTTAGGTCGGGTTTGGGTTTTAGGTAAATCTGACCCGATCTTACTCAATATTATATAAAAAATTATTTTTTAATTGTTTATTTAATTTTTTATTTATATATATTTATATATTTATTTTAAAAAATAATATTTTATATTAAAAAATATTTTATTAATTTCAGATCAAATCGGGTACTGTTTATATAATATCAAGTCGGTCGAATCGAATTCGGGTATGAAAAAAATAAAAAAAATTTAAATCGAATTGAGTTCGAATTTGATGAATATAAAATCGGATCGAATTTGAGACGAGCAAAAACTCGTCATAACCCGACTTGTTGCCAACTCTAATTGGTTTGTTTTTATTACGCAGCACACCACTTGAAAAAAAAAAATCATTATATCTATAGATTTTGAGTATTGCAAACCCAACTACTCCTTACAAAAGGCTGTTAGTTATACATAAAGATTCGGTTTCTCGTTGTCAAGAATATGCTTAGACAATGGATAATGAAAGATGTGAAATTTGTATAATTAAGTAAAATGTATCTTGGCCAAAGAAAAAAAGTAAAGTATAAAAATAAATAGACAGCCGTCTGCAGAGTGGAAAAAAAAAATGAAAGCCCTATAAGCAAGCTTTTTTTTTTTTTCAAACATCTATGAAGTTATGATATCAATCAAAGCACACATTTTTGTTTAAACCAAAGACTTCACTTTGCTTTTGGGGTAGGGAGTATTTGTTGGCAGCTCATTTTGCAGCCACCAACAAGAAGAAAAAATGCAATGTCCAAAGGAAGCTCTAGTTAGATTGTTTTACAACCTCTCAAGCTCCTCCCTGCTTCTCCTTCTCTTCCTATACTCGTCATCCATTTTGCTTTCCAAGTTCTTGTACTTCCTTGGAAGTTATCCAGTTATCCAAAGGTCTGGTACCAAGAAACCCCTTCCTCTTTTTCAACTTAAAATTCTTTCTCTTCTTTACATTGTTAATGAAGAATTCATTGCGGTGTGTTCTTTCTTCCTTGCAGGACTCAAAATGGATATGACTACAGTATGTTTTCTGAGGAGGAGGAGGAGGAGGAGGAAGAAGGATATGCTGCTGACAGGTATAACTATAGGGTGAACTGCGTGGAAAAGGACCACCTGGTGGCAGACATAATTCATGGTGGTGAATCACTTATATTCCTGTCAGACAATAGCTTTCACAGGACTGAAAATGATGTTGAGGAATCCATGAACCTCCACGAAGATCCGCTAACAAGTGATTCCACCGAACAGTTCTCTGCTCATGACTCATCACCTCGTACAGATTCTGAACATGATAATGATGACATCAATTTGCAGGATGAAGAGATCCCAATAAAAGATGCTGATTCACTTCAGAATTTCGATGTAAATCAGGATGGCCCCACCCCCATCGTCTCACCAATACTCAAAGAACCAGACAAAAGTGATCAGGTGGACAATGACGAAGACGATGATGGTATGTGCATTTATGCTTCATTAGCATCAATCATATGCTGTACTTCATTTGTATCTTCTGATCATTACATCTTATACTTTTTTGTTTTAATGCTTTCAACTCGACCTGATATTGCATCTGCTTCATGCAGATATTAGCAGCAATCAAGAAATCAAACAAAGGGTGGAAACAGATTTTTCAAGAAATGAGAAATTTTTTGTTATAGGACCAACAATATTGGAGTCTAAGAAGTTACTAGTTCATGACAATGATGCTGAAGAAATCTACGGAGACTCTTGCACGATGGGCTCTACTTCTAAGAGCTCTTCTGAGTGGAGAAGCTCGATAAATTGTAGAGATTCAGGGACTGATGATCCATTTTCTTCTTCCTCAAGAAGAAGTTGTCCCAAGTGGGAGTCCTACACAGTGTTTCAAAAGTATGATGAAGAGATGATATTCCTAGACAGAATTAGTGCACAGAAGCTCCAGGAAACAGGTAATAAATAATTCAACCGAAAAACTTTGAGACATTTTGGGGTAGTATTTGTTTCGAGAAATGAATTGGGAAAATTGATTATATGAACAATGTACATTTGCTTGATTTGGTTGAAATTGTTATAGAGTCACTTAGGTCTATCCAAGCTTGCCCAAGGTCAATATCAGAGAGAATAGTCCACAAGTTTGCCACAATGAACAAGAAGCCATCAGATATCAGACACAATCCATATCATGAATTGGAAGCAGCATATGTAGCTCAAATTTGCTTAACCTGGGAAGCTCTTAATTGGAATTACAAGAACTTTGAACGTAAAAGAGCTGCACGCAAAGATTTTGACTGCCCTGCCATCATTGCTCAGCAATTTCAACAATTCCAAGTTCTTTTACAAAGATACATTGAAAATGAGCCTTATGAGCAAGGCCGGAGACCAGAGGTATATGCCAGGATGAGGCTTTTGGCACCAAAGTTGCTTCTGGTTCCAGAATATCGAGGTAATCATTCATTTCCTATCCTGGAAAGAGCAAGAGATAGTAAAGGAGTGAGGATATGTTAATCTTCTTTGATATACTAAGCAAACCTTTTGCATTTTTTTTTTATCATAAATTGATTTTTGCTATATCTAAATTTATAATACCTTTTAACATTTTCTGATTCCATATTTTGATTTTAAGATTTTGAGGATAATCAAAGGGATGAAGGTTTTGGCTCAAGAATTTCAGCAGATTCATTTCTGGTGATAATGGAAGATGGAATCCAAACCTTCATGAATTTTCTCAAGGCAGACAAAGAGAAACCATATCAAATCATTAAAGCATTCTTTGGGAGGAAGAGAAGAGGTTCAGTTGACCCATCACTTGTCCAACTCATGAAAAAAGTTAATGTTAAAGTAAGTTAAAATTAAATTCCCTTACATATTTGGCTTTAAACATTTATCCCAATGATGAGAGCAGTAATAAGATTTGGCCTTTCCTTTTGCTTTAATTGCAGAAAAAGACGAAGCTTAATGACCTTCGCCGGGCTCACAAATGCATAAGGAAAAGAAAACTGAAGGTGGTGAAAGAGATGGAGATATTGATGGGTCTAGTAGACCTGAAAGTGGTGTCTAGGGTGTTGAGAATCAGTGATCTAAGTGAAGAACAATTGCATTGGTGTGAAGAGAAGATGAGCAAAGTGAGGATTTTGGAAGGGGAACTCCAAAGAGATTCCTCACCACTTTTTTTCCCAGTACATTGACCCATCAGTCCAAGATTATATGCAAAAATAGTGTTGTTGCTTTGATGACTAGATTATGGATGTGCATGGCTGCACACAATGAATATCCTAGTCAAGCTTTTGTAAATACTGTAAAAAGAATATATATATATATATATATATATATATATATATATGGAGGGAGGGTCCTACAACAAAGTTGACAACATGTGGGGGTGACATGGAATTTAGAGAAATGGGAAATCCATGGACCGGAAGGAAGAGTAAAGCATGGTAGGCTAAGTGATTTTCTTCATCAACTTTGAAAGCGAAAGACCAGACAAAGCAAGGGACACGAAGATAGATACTACAATATCAACTGGTAGCTTTATTAGTTTGCTTTTCCTTATTGAAAAATTGGGGTTTATCTATAAGGATTTGAAAGCAGAATCAAAAGAAGAGAAGTAGGAAAGGCCTTTTACACATGCATAGCAAAGAAAAAAAAGGGTAGCACATGCTACACTCAAAGGATAGTATCAAAAATCAGGGTACGTAGCATTAGCATCATATTGACCCCACTTTTCTTAGCGGAAATAAAAGCAGAGGATTTTAGAAAAATGAGGTCTTGTTCAAGTACTATACCCTATATATATATATGATAGCATTGACTCAAAAAAAGTAATGACTGAATAAGTTAGAACAGCCTCAAAGATGTTACATTATCTTAATGAGTAAGTAATAAAACATTTCCCTCTTAATACGGAGTGCTCACTCCTCATATGTATTTTTTTCTTCTTTTGTCATGTTTAAATTCCATTTGTAATCCTTGACAGCTTGTTCCCATTGACTAAAGGAATTATAGCTTGCTATTGATATGTTCAAGGGGTTTTTTTATTTATTTGAGAAAAAATTATTCAAATTCACTTATTTGAATAGAAAATACATGTATCAGTAATTAAGTTAAATGCTTACCGTACGCTTTAATTTATTTAATATGTCATAACGTACAAATCCGTGGATCTATCGCTAAACATGAATTAGAGGAGTCACCATCAATCGTTTTTATTTAGGTATGATTGGCCACCTGAAACATATTTTGGTCTGTCAAAATAGATGTTAGGTTCGAGAGTCGATTACGCATGTAGAAAGTTATAGCACCCCATAACGCCCATCCAAAGGATAGTACTGGTTTGATTTCAAATTTCTTAACTTTGATCATTTTTATGATTTACTAAATAATTTAATATTGAAAATTAATTTTGAAATTATCCTAATAGTTTGGTAGCAATTTAAGATAATTTACTCACCTCAGTAGTATTCATAGAAACTAGTGTTCCATTCTGAAAAGGCTTCATCATCGGATTTATTGATTTATCCTATTCCAAAAAAGTAAATAAATCTTTCAATAATTTGATAAGACTTACTTTAAAGCAATCTTCTAATAGTTTAGAGGATAAAATTTTTTATTATTCTTACTTTTTTACCCTTTTTTTTTTTTAAAATTTATAGAATCTCCCAATAGTTTGGTGGATTCCATTAAAAAATAATTAAATCTATGAAAACTCTCTAATAGTTTGGTACAATTCATGAATTTATTTTGTTAGGATTCTTATTTGAAAATGATTCTTTTTTATTTTATTTATTTTTATTTTTTTGAAAGGATTTTATAAATATTTTGGAAAACTTTATTTGAAAAGTTTTTTTTTACTTATTTATTTTTTATTTAAAAAAATCTTTCTTTTTTTTTGAATCATTTATCCTTTTTTTTTTACTTTCAAAAAAATATGGCAGAAATAACATTTTTTAAAAAAAACAAAACTAGAAAAATAATATAAAAATAAAAATAAAATCAAATGGGTTAAAAATAAAATAAAATCAAATCAAATCAAAAAATAAAAATAAAAATAAAATGGAAAAAGGAAACCTTGCGATCTGGGCCTGGTCAGAGCGTACGTCAGTGCGCGGGTTGACAGGTCAAGATGCGGATCTTGCGCTACCAAAACGGCACCATTTTGAGTCAGTATATAAGCCAAATTGCTTATGTTTTCTTCAGAAGCTCAATCCCCTATCTTTTTCTAACCCTTAAAAACTCTCTCATCTCTCTAAAATCCAACCGAGACCCTACCGAAAATTATAGATTCTTGTTGGTTTCCAGAAATTCCCACTAGAAAGTTCATACTTCACCGAAAAATTCATCGAAAAATTCATTCAAAACCCAAAAAAAAACTCGAAAACCCAAAAATTTCCTAAATTTTCCAAATTCTTTTAAAAATTCCCCAAAAACCTAACCCTAACCCAAAAACCTAAATCTAAACTCATAAACCTCACACCAAATTTTAACAATCAAAATCCCAATTTTTAGAACCTAAAATCCCAGAAACCAAAACTAACACCTAGAATCTTTCCAAAACATTCATTCCTTTCCCAGTGGCCGTATTCTCTTAGAGCCGTTCACTTTTATAGTCACCTCTGAGATAAATTTTAAAAAATAGACAGAATCAATCTAGGCTTAAATCTTGGAATTTGATTATGCTAGAGCCTTAATTTAGGGTTCTGATTTAGTCCCAATTAAATTTGGTCAATTATTTAAGCTTGACTCATCATTGACTATGAGGTTTTGACCTACCTAATTCAATTTTCATTTCCATAATTCTCACCAAAAATAAAAAAGGGAAAGAAGGAAAAAATGAAAAAATAATAAATAGAAATGATGATGATAACTATAATAATAATAATAATAATAATAATAATAATAATAATAATGTAACACCATACAATATGATAATAATAAAAATAATGAAATATGGTCCAATTGGCTTTAGACATGGTCCGATCGACCCTGAACACAAATGGGCTTCTACAGCTGCCCTTCTTTACACGTTCCTGTTAGACATGGATGGTGCAAAGACCTAGACACCCATTATATTCTAACTTAATAGTCAAATCAGCGAGCGAAAATGATGGGGACGAAACCACAAATCAAGAATGAAGCGACCAAGATTGAGTCGAGCTAGAAAATAAATGACTGAGATGAAATCACGAGTCAAAATAAAGTGATCAAGATCGAGTCGATGTCAAAAATAAATGACCAACATGAAACCACGAGTCATAAGAAATGATTTGAATTAAGCCAAGATCAAGTCGAGATCGAAAATAAATGATCATGATGAAACCACAGGTCATAAGAAATTATTTGGATTGAGCCAAGATTAAGTGATCGGGATGAAATCACGAGTCAAAATGGAGCGACCAACACCGAGTCTAGATCGAAAATAAATGATTGAGATGAAACCATGGGTCATAAGAAATGATATGGACTGAGCCAAAATCACATGACTGGGATGAAACCACGAGTCAAAATGAAGTGCCAAGATCAAGTCGAGGTTGAAAATTAATGATCGAAATGAAACCACGAGTCATAAGAAATGATTTGGCTTGAGCTAAGATCGTGTAACCGGGATGAAATCACGAGTTAAAATGAAACAACCAAGATCGAGTCATGGTTAAAAATAAATGATCGAAACAAAACCACGAGTCATAAGAAATGATTTGGATTGAGCCAAGATCACATGACCGAGATGAAATCATAGTCAAAAGAAGCAACCAAGATCGAGTCAAGGTAAAAAATAAATGATCGAGATGAAACCATGAGTCATAAAAAATGATCTGGACTGAACCAAGATCAAGTGACTGGGACGAAATCACAGGTCAAAATAAAATGACCAAGACCAAGTCGAGGTCAAAAATAGATGATCAGGATGAAACCATGAGTCATAAAAAATGATTTGGATTGAGCTAAGATCGAGCGATCGAGACGAAACCACAGGTCAAAAAAATATAGTTTAAAATTTTACTCTAAATCCAAAGATTCACAATTTGGACATTCAAAATTTTGTGAGTTTTCATAATAGAAGTTGAAAGGTCCTAAGTTTAACAAAATCATAAGGATTCAAGATTTGCAAAGGTTTTCAAATTTTCAAGAACAGAAAAATCACAAGATTTCAAATTTCGCAAAGATCCTAGATTCGCAAAAATACAAGTTGCACAAGGATTTTCATAATCTCAAGAAAGAAAGATTCGCAAGACTTCAAGTTTCGTAAAGGTTCTAGATTCGCAAGGATTCTAGGTTCGCAATGACTTTTAGATTTGTAAGAAAGTAAGATTTACAAGACTTTCAGATTCGCAAGAAAGAAAAATTTCATAAAAGTCTAAGTTTCGCAAAAGGTTTCATAATAGAATTGAAATAGTTAGAAAGATAAAGTGATCAAGATCGAGTCAAGGTCAAATATGAATAATCGGGATAATACCGCAAGTAAAAAAAATGATCTGATCTGAGCCGAGATCTAATAACCAGAACAATGCCGTGAATATAAAAGATAAAGTAACCAGGACTGAGTCAGGGTCGAAGATAAATAATTGGGATGATATTACAAGTCAGAATGATCGACTGAGCTAGATCAAATAAAGAATGATGATGCATGTCATATTTAGGATGGCAAACTGTAACCAATGTATCAATGCCATGAAATTTCAATTGTGGTACCAAAGTTCTCAAGACTTTACCATTCCTTCTTGGCTTCTTAATATTAATAATCTCAGAGCAAATTTTGTCAACTGATCTATGTCATTCTTCTCATCTAGTCACAATTCACAGGCCATATCAACCAACTTATCAATGAATTAGGTCATCTTATTTGCCCAAACTAAAATATTTTCTCATGCTTTTTTTCATTTATCTCATATTGAATTTCTTTCAAAAATGGAAAACTCTTTATAAAACATGTATTCATTTATTTGTCATCATTCAAATCAGTGATAGATATGATACATGTTCTTGCTCCATTCAAGGAATGTTCATTTGGTGAAGGGTAAAAAAATGGATCTTTATTATTGAAAGAACAAAAGGTATGGTCAAGAATAACTCAAGGATGAACAAAGATAAAATGTTGTAATTTATCGAAATAGGGCATTAACATCTAAAATAATGATTACTCAAATAATTTTGAACTTAAACTTAAGATCATCTTTCAAAAACACATTCCATTAATACCTTCAATCTTTGAGCTAATCATCATCCTCATTCTG